TCGACCAGTTGAAATGAGTGTGAACGGACAGGGGTGCGATCCAAACAGCGATCTGGGGTCTCCGCTGAGGGACCGGTCGAGCTGTTTTCACGGAGCGTCTGGGCTGTTTTCACCCGAAGATAGAGGGCGGTCCTTGGTCCCTCGATTCAGCACTCAGCGAACCTGGAGAGAGTCGCTCTTTGCCCATGTGGAAGTTGGTTTGTTCGTCACCCAGAGGAATAGGAGGAATGTTGCTGGAAAAGACGAGAATTCATGGCCTCAATGTACTTACAAACCCTTGTCCGACTTGTTGTGTTCTACACCAGCACTGGGGCACTCGCTGTTGCTGAAGCTTGAGCTCTGCGAACGAGCAAAACATGACGACACTGACATCTCACGCCCAGGCGGTGATGTCGGGGCCTTCGGGCCAACTCCCAAGCAGAACCGATGAACCTTGGGGTGCTACCCGTACAGTGCTACACAGCTGTTTTTGTCCATTTGTTTTCTTCATGTATAGATGGAAGATGATGGAAGTATACAGCTTACAGCAGTGTAAATGTCGTACATATGTCGTACTTGGATCTTCCAACTAGGGAAACTGTGGTCCTTCTGACTAGTTGTTATGGATGGACAGGCAGAAAACTGATGAACATTGTGCATAATTGGAAGATTGATAAGTATACAACTCGAAAAACATTGAACACATATGAAAGAAACGATAACAAAATCCACAAAAGCATGCTATGAAGTTTTCCAGAGTCTCCGATTCTTCGATTCATCCCATGTTTCGCTTCTTCGCCACGCCTCGCGCGGTCCACCGTGGCTTCGCTGTGCCACAGCTTCTTCGACGTCGACGTCGACCGCAAGGCTTCGGGCAGCTGGTCGTGGTGGATGAAGCGTTTGAAGTGCTGAACCGCGCTTGGTGCATCGCTGAGATCATGGCCACGTGGACGGAGGAAAGAGAGGGCGAGGCCAGCGGCTTCGTCTGGGGAGCAACGTATACAGTGTGGTGGTATCAAGGTGGTATTACATATCATCATGTCCAGTGTCCATGTGTTTTCATAACAGAAAGCCCTTCGGTGCGACTGGTCGGGAGTTGAGAACAAGACTCCCTCCGCGCCATCGAATCCCCGGCGACCATCCCCCAAAGCCCCCGGGACGCATCGGCTGTGACCGTCGTTCAGAACACGCTTCGGCGGTCGAAGCGAGCGGGCAGTGGACGGAAGCGGCGTCGGGATCTGTGCCAAGTCGGTGGACGGTTTGGGACCATCCAACGCCAAGCGTTAGGAGGATGGACAGTGACGTAATTGGAGTCGTCGAACGGAAATGGCCGTTCACCACGTCCGGGACATCTAACACGTTGCTTTGACCCGAAATGTTTTGGAGTCCATATGAGTCCATTTACCCATGAACAGGCTACGACTTGCCATGAACATTCCGGATATAATTAGTTAAGAATATATATCCTTTGTTTTGACCCGAAGACCTTGGTGGCCTCACTCGAGGGTGGTCCCAATCGAGGTGACCTTTGTTTTCGGTCCAACACTGTTCAAAAACCAAGGGGCCACTTCATGGTGGATCAGCATAGGAAGGAATGGAAGGAACATAATTACTGTACTTTCACACACAGCGGACATTATAGTATATAGTGCTGGTGTTGCCTTCATCCATCTTCATCCTGTCCAGGATCAACCAAAGAGGCCTATCTCCATGCGGCTCCGCATGGGGGGGACAAAATCTGCAGCTGCAGATCCGATCCTGCCTTCCGAGGAAGGGAATTCCTTGCATGAAGAGAGCAAATCCTGCAGTCAGTTTCGACGCTCGGACGTCGAAGCTGTCGAGCGCTGGAAGCAGCACTGGAAGCAGCGTTGAAAGGGTCGGTAGGTGCTGACTGGCTCAGAAGATGACTTGTAAGGTCTGACTTGTACCAAGAGAGGTTGAGAGAGAACTAGGACCGAAATCCGGTCCCAGACTTGTACAACTGTTCAACCTCTCTTGGTAGGTGACTTCCTTCCCATTGTGATGTTCTTCTCGTCATCGTTTGGGTGGGAGTTCCTTTCAGTTCCTTCGTGGCGCGTTTTTTGCTGCCGAAGTTTGGGGAACGTGGCCGTTGAGTCAAATCATGACATGCACGAGACTCTCTCGGCCTCAACGAGACTATACCAGGACCCTCTAAGGGGTGCCCTGTCTGGAAGCCATCCTAGGTAGTGTGGGGTAGTCCAGCCAGGACACCCCTTGGAGGGTCCTGGTATAGTTTCTTCCGGATAGATTGGCCAAGCACTGTTTGTACATGTTTGTACTGTTTGTGCTTCGGTTTGACAGACCATCATAGACCTTTTGGGATCACCAGGACCCATGAGAACATTCACATCGTCCAGTAAATTCTGCCCCACACTCCATCCTTAAAGCGATCTCACTTTCGCCATCCTAAATTCCGATCTCCATCCACCTACCAGAAAAAGATCGCTGACTTGATAACTCATCGCCCTGAGAGTCTCTCATCGCCAGAAATGCGCGTGAACGTCTTCTCACGGAACTCGGTGGACTTGCACTATGACAATCTGGCTGTTCTGGACGTGACCAAGTGCGACGCCACTAGCGAGTCACTTGGACCGATGTGGTCGGCTGTTCTCCTCGCCGAACAAAGCGCGCGGGACGCGCGGAGGATGATTCGCGTGTATCCGCTGGGTGGAATCGGAGGGCGCAGGACTGGAATTACAATACCCAGACACGACACATGGGACTGCCAGTCCGGACTGCCTTCAAAACGGCCAGGGGTAGTAGAACAGGGGTCTGTCTGGGGCGGCAGTCCTATCTGGCAGTGCCATGGAGTGGTCGGGAGATTTACACCTGAAATCTTCACCCCTGCATAAATCTGCCAGTCCTTATGGAGCGTGAGGGATGGGCCCGGAATTGACTGAATGTGCACCCTGAATGGGGCGGACCACGGACCTCTCATCACCTCTTCATCAACACCTGAAGCTTCCTTCGCTTTAGGAATACGTGTTAACAACACAGACGCGACCCGGGACACTCATATGGAGGGGTCGGACCCTCATAGGGAGGGGTCTGGGGTCTCAAATGGCTGTTTCGAGCATCTGGGAAAGTGCTCGTTCAAGCAGTATCTCCAGGTGTATCTCCCAGTTTTTATTGAGCGAAGCTGCTCGAACTGAGGGAAGACAAGCAGTTCATCCTCTCCAAAGTCAGCGGGCGAGAAGACACTCCGTGAAAAAAGCGTGTTGCGTTCGTTGCTCGAATGTTTATTACGAACGCCGAACGCCTATCCAAGAATTCATTGTTTTGGAGCCGACCACCGGTGCTTTCTGGGTGCTCGATATGTGCTGCGTTTCATTTGTGAAACTGAAGCAGGTTCGAATGGCGACCTACCAGGAGACATCAGCAGACCCAGTGGTGTTTGGACCCGATCGTGGATTTGTTGGGCATACCCTGTCACCGTCGAAGCAGACCTCGTCTAACGTCTAACGTCTTAGTTGGTGATCAATGTCTCGGGTGAGCCGATGGCGCAATGCAGCTGGTGGTACATCCGATGTCAAAGGGTTGAACCTGCACGATCGAACTCGTCATGTGAGAGACCGGCCCGTCGCCGAACTGCGAGAGCGACCCTGGTGGGAAGAATGAGATGGGGGGGGGGCATTGGCGCCCACATGAGCGTGCGAGATGGGCACGTACCACCTGCACCACTTCTGTCCTTATAGCACCTGCACCCTGCAACGAAGGAATGGAGGGTGACCCAATTTGCACAAACAAATAATAGCCCATGTCCCATCCTGGCACCATACAAGGGCTCCAACGTTGGAACCCTTCAGAAATGGGATTCCGATTTGCTGGATCAACTCAAAACATCTCAAGGCCACTCTCCCAGACTCTCCCTTTCTCTCTTTCTGGTACCTGGGGGGGCTGGATATCCATCGCCTTGGGATCCATCGGTCCAATCCATATCCATCGCTTGACTCGGAAGGTGCCAAAAGACTTCTCCCCAGGGCTCCTGGCCCATCTCCTCAGGTGGTATTCGACCCCGGCAGATCCCCGTCCAGCGGCCCAGCGTCGAAGGATCGTGCTGGAGAAGAAGGATCGTAGAAGTGAAAATCTGCCCATCCCATATTTCAGCATCTTCAGCAACCTTCAGCATCAGCGCTCAGGAGGCCTTCAATCTGAAGCTCCAGGACCTGATCTTCGGCTGCCAAGGTCTCTTCAATCCGTGGCTCGCAAGGTCTTTATTGTTTCACTGGTGAATGTTGCATGGTTCTTGATATGAGGAGTTTTGTTGTGTGTGTATGTGTTTGGCACGTCAAACAAAGGGGACCTTTTTTGTAATTGGCTTCGTCCAAAGCTCTTTCCGATCGCTGATTTTAAGATTTCTGAATCGCTTGGTGATCAACCGAGAGTAGACATGTTGAGGTTGTGCAGATGCACACAGCAGTGTGGGGTGAGGGTTGTCCTGAATGATGTGGATGTGGATTCCCCATCTAATACCCAACTCGTGGATAGACATCCAGGGCCTGCCTTCCACACCTGGCTTCGCCTCCACATGCGCCATCGTATGCCCTGGTATGGTGCACATCCAACGTACCTCAAAATGGCACCCGAGGCCTTTTGTGTATCGAGGGTTCATGGCACCAGGTGGAGACGTTTTTGGTCCACCGAGACCCATGGGGTCTCGGGGTCTGGGTCATCCAGCCGGTCGACTGGCCACGCACCATCCCAAAAGAATCGGACACCAACACCAACATCACGTGGGGCGGTGTGGAATGCCAGGCTCAGACATGGCCATTTGAGACCTGGCAGTTCCAGTTAGAATGTGTTTGGAAAGTTCTGACCATCTGCCTCACTTCTCAGAATCGATGGGTCAGAGCTTTCTCATGGCGTTATTCAGAACTTTCCAGGTTCAGAGGCCTCTACCGCCCATCTTGACTCGACATTCCCTTCCACTGAGATTCACCCCTCCACATTTCGTGTTACGCGTATCTCTTTTGCTCGCTGCTGCTGGTGACCGAAAACCAAAGAGGAAAACCGAACCCTCGAAATCCATATGGCAAACGACGCCATGGCGCGCCCGTGACATCCCTCGCGGCATCCATCGCATGGCTTTTACGGCTTGGCTCAGTCTCGTGGTGTGCTCGGCCGCATCGCGGGTGTTTGACGAGACGGAGCCGGTGGATTTGCTGCAGAGGACTTTGCAGCTGGATGGCGGCAGCGAAGGTGCTGCCGCGCAGGCGGAAAGGCTGCGGAAGGTGCTGCCCATGGCTTGGATTCATGTACCGCCGCATGGCGTGTTGGAGATGACGGGGGGTGATGGGTTGAGCGCGGCACTTGGTCAAGTTGTCCTTTGGATCAAGGGAGTCTGAATGCAGGTCTCCTATACTGTACATGTTACATACTGTATAAATTCTTAATGCACACAGGACACCCACATCTGTTTGTTGTACCTTTGGAGTTGGCATGTTGGATTCAAGATTTAAGTAATTAAGAAGGCAAGGAGATGTTCTACACAGTAGGTGTTTTCCACTCAAAGCCCATGGACGACCCTCCTAATGCGAGCTTTGACTGACCTGGTGGACAGTTGGAGGGAGACAATGGAGATGTTGAATCTACCAGCAGGGGTGCTGAGAGAATGGAGGTCATTTGTTGGGTGTCGTTGATGCTCCTGTCACATCACATCAATCCTCCTGCACGTTTTAGGGGACACAAAACCATGCCAACACAGATCCACTTGTTTTTTTTGCGATGTTACTACTGCGGATCGGGTGATGAAGCAAATCCAAGTGGATCTGCAGAAATGGCATCAGAGACTTCAGTTCATGAGACTTCAGAAATCGCATGGAACAGCTGCCTGAAAAGTGATTGCCGTCCTAGGAAATGTGGCACCTCCTTTGCGAACACCTTAGTGACCTGGCTATGTCAAAAGGGCTTCCTGTAGTGGGAAAGCAAGCGCAGGACAGCAGTGGAGAAAACCCCCAAGCTCAGTGCGTGTGTGTGTGTGTGTGTGTGTGTGTCACCCCCTGTACCAAAGGGTCCAATACTCAACAGGCAGGGGGCGGCAGCAGGAACGAGAGTCTGCCGCCAACGAAGACACTCTCGATTTCCTGGTGATACTGGGACTGATCATCCCAGCGTACCTGCCGTGATCACAAGCTGTGACTCCACTCTTTCCTCGTTTGTTTCCATGGTGGTTTCACACGATACCTGCCCCACAAACAGGTTTCCCTCAGCTGCTTTCAGCCGCCGCCGGTCAGCCGCGCTCTGCAGATGAAACAATTTCCATGTTGAAACACCTTCAAGTCTTTGGACCTTTCACCGTGCCGTTCCATCGCCGTCCTTCCCACGGAGAAGTGAGTGTAACTTGAATACAAGTGTCAGAGTGTGTTTCGCTCAGCCGTCCCACTCGGGTGCTGAGTGTGATCCCCCGCAAGGGGGCGCCGTCTCTTTGGGAAAGCACTCACTGATTCCTCCACTTTGCACTGGAATCCCACCGGAAATCACTGACACACCCACCGAATCAACTGCCACAACGGCCGCCGGGCCAAAAAACGGCATCAAACCCCTTTGAGGCAGGTTCCCCGACCCCCCCCCCCGCCATGTTCTACTCCCTACCTAATTAGGGCACACAGATGCACACAGGGAAATGGTACTCGACACACTTGTGTGTCGGTGCCTTTCCCTTTGTTGTCCCTTTTCTAGTCTACTCTACCCGGGCGGTTTAAGACTAGAGTCCCGCTCCCTAGCTAGTGCATGTAATTAATTTCCGCTAAGTATTCAGTAACCCTAGAGTGCTAAGTATTCAGACACACACATGGACATACACCCTTCCCTGCCCCCCCCCTTTCCTTCTTGCGCCTCTCGTCGTTTGTTGGGCTTTTTCTCAGGCTTTTTATGTTGTTTTTCAGGCTCGTTTCCCTACCCCAGTCAAGGGCTAAGTATTCATTTTTCCTTTTTTCTACACCTATCTTTCTCTCTTGCCCTCTTAGCGCTGCTCTTTCTGCGTTTCTTTTCTTTTGTTTCTAAGGCTTTTTAGGTACCTATTCAGGTCGCACACATGAGCGCCGCCAAGCGGCCCTGTGTGTGTGTCACCTCCTGTACCAAAGGGTCCAATACTCAACAGGCAGGGGGCGGCAGCAGGAACGAGAGTCTGCCGCCAACGAAGACACTCTCGATTTCCTGGTGATACTGGGACTGATCATCCCAGCGTACCTGCCGTGATCACAAGCTGTGACTCCACTCTTTCCTCGTTTGTTTCCATGGTGGTTTCACACGATACCTGCCCAACAAACAGGTTTCCCTCAGCTGCTTTCAGCCGCCGCCGGTCAGCCGCGCTCTGCAGATGAAACAATTTCCATGTTGAAACACCTTCAAGTCTTTGGACCTTCCACCATGCCGTTCCATCGCCGTCCTTCCCACGGAGAAGTGAGTGTAACTTGAATACAAGTGTCAGAGTGTGTGTGCTTCACTATCAGTTTTTGCATTGTATTGAGTTTAAAAAATATGAGCATGTGTTGCTCTCAAGTGTTTGTTTTCAGATGTGCAAGTTGTGGTATTTCGGGAACTTTCAAGTCCTCCCTATCTCACTGATCATGCTGAACCAGATGCAATCGAGAGCCACCCACCCTATATGGATCCGTTGCCACCCTTTGAAAGGGCTTTCCGTGTTCAACCGGTTCGGTCCAGTTTTACTGAACCTGTGCGGATTTGGATCGGCCTTGGGATCAACACTGGGATACAAGGCATAGATGCCGAAAGATATGCCTTCCCAGTGTGTCAGGCATCCAAGTATCTCTGGATATGGGTGCAAAACAGGAAGACCGAACCGCCGTTCCGACCCCCTGCGAGGTTCGGAACATGGACCAGTTCATCCATAACTACACAAATACTCCCTAGTCAAATGCATACTCATATATGCAGATAGAAGATTCCTTACATATTGGATCATACAGTATTCAGTATTTGCCAGTCTCTTGATATGCCAAAAGAAACTCCACTCATTTCCCATGTTGGAGTCACAGAGCTCGGGGTGGTTTGGTTCGTCCCATCCAGGGGCCGTGGATGAGTCGGAACCGGCACCCCTGTCCCTCAAGTGACTCTTGGACTCAGGTGGGCATGCCCCACTTTTGCCCCGACGCTCCGGAGAACTACGACGTCGAGTCCTCCGCACCTGACGGGTGCTTATTCAGGGTCTTTGCCCCAAACGTGTGCAAGTCGTTCTGCGATCAAAACTATTTGCACTGCCGCTGGTCCAGCAGGTGTTGTTCTTTGTTTCACCAAATGTTTCTGTTTGTTCGTTTCCGTTTTTGGTTTGACATGTGTGTTTCTCCTGCTTGCTTTTGTCTTGGATGCAGAGCACCCTTCTTTGTTTGTGTGTGTTAAGGTTATTTTGCTTATTATGCTGGTGTCTCAAGAGCAGAATCCGATCATCATTGGATTATTTGTTTGAACTCGTGTGAAATGATCCCGTGAAATCATGCGCTTGAGATCATACTCGAGGTTGGAATGGCAAGGATGGGAACAACTATCATGCCTTCGTGGGCAATGAAAGTCAATACTTGAAAGTGAAGGGCCATATGGTGGGCCTCTTCCGCCAACCGGAGCAACGTTTGTTGTCTGCCTACTACGATGCTCGGACCCTCTTCGGTCAGGTGTCTGCGGCGGAGACGGGAAGCCTGCCCCCAAGATGGAAACTCATGTTCACATGTACCAGCACCCAACGACTCTACAGGTCTCCTAGACTCAAAAGTGGCTTTTGTAGACTTAAACGTTGCAGGTGGTGACCCGGCAGGTCTCGGCTGCTGGTATGGAAATCACATCAAATCTGTAATCTGAGATCTGGATGCGTCAATCGACCACGAGTGACCGGTGGCCAGTGCTAACATGTGCTAACCATCACATGGGTCAGTCATCCCCAGCTGCAACACAGCTGCAAACCATGTATATATATATATTTCGATCCTGTATAAATGATCAATGTCGATCATGTGACGTACACATAGTTCTCCCCCAAAGAGAGACCGTGGAGCAACTTCCAGGCATCATTTCACCACAACAAGGATCTACCAACAGAGGTATTCAGTGACCTTATAAGACCCGTAACCTGGGGTACCCAACTGGGATAGTCTGTAGGGTCCTTCAACCTTTGTTGGTACTTCCAGCATTCGAAGTCTCCGATGATGTGACAGTTTCGGGTTCTCGTCCGATGTCGCCTCGTTCTTTCGCACAGTCTTTCGCACGGACTCAAAAAAAAGTCCGGGACTGGCTTTGGACTCTGCACTTTTGAGGGAGGTTGTTTTTTGTGCAACTACAACTAAACAAAAGAGCCCTGAAGAGCCGCGAAGAGCTAGGCTGAAAAGATCCCCTGGCTTGAGCGTCTTTTACTGAGTTGGTTTCAAGAGTCGGAGCCAGCCTGGAACCTAGACCAACGACTTAAGAAGTGCATGTGTTGTTTGAAGAGAGTCGGGTGAAAAACTCTGGGGGTAGCATCTCTGCAGTGCTTGTTGAACTCTATGTTGCACCGTACTCACCTGTCCCCCTGAAGGGCCAAGGGCTCAGAAGAACTTCAGCAAGACGAACGAAGATGATGACGTCCGGGAAACCGATTCAACATGACCTCGTTTGAATGGTACCATCTTTTGAAGGGATTTGAAGGGTCACTTTGAAGAACCGGTTTGGGGCGTTGTGTCTAAGGATGGACATGATTGGATCAACGGGGGCAATGGCACCCGCTGTGCAACTTGGCGTGATCAAACCTCATGGTGCTATTAAACACTGGCCCAGACGCTCCCGAATCCTCATATGCAGGGGTCGGACCCGAATTGTTTTGGAGGGGTCGGGGGCCTCAAATCCCTATGGTTTTGAGGGACCAAGGACTGTTTGGAGCGTCTGGGTGATCAAGGCAAATCTGACACATTTGGGTGGCAGAATTTGGGGTGTTTAGATGTCCTAGCTGGAGTGTGCTGGACATCAAATACTGGATGAATGATGATCAATTGGGATCGAAGAACAAACGTTTGCGGTGCCAGTACCAGCAGCCTCCTGTCGAGGTGGCATTTCAGAGTTGAGTAAAGATGTGATCTAAGGGATCTCCAAAAACCACAGTGAATGGGGTCGGTCCTGGTGCTCAGGAGCAGGTCTTGTGAGCTAGAAAGATCCCATCCCCGGCTCCGAGTGGGACCGACCTATCGCTATGCCAGAAGAATCCGGGCCCGTTCCGCAACACATAAGGGTTTGGGAACCGGGTCCAGACCTTTCCCCCTGCGTTTCGGTGTCGGAAGGTCCGAACCCCCTGCTTAAAGCAGTCGAGGGCCCGGACTCGGATTCTTAGGGTACCAATGATTTGGGGTGGTATTTTCATGTGAGCCGCTCTAAAAACCATATAGGGAGTGACTCCAGGTTTTCAGAGTGGCTCATTGTGTGTCTGTTTTTGTTCAATCAATTTCCAGTCCCGTAGGTTTCACGGGTCGGGTGCACAACTGGTCGAAGTTGTTCACGCAAAAAAAATGGATCACGTCGTCCCATCTTCAGGTCCCACACGGGGAAGACCGGCACCGGCGGGAGCGAAGGTTCCCAAGCGGAATGCCGCAAGTTCAGATGAAACACCTCAGTTCACCTCAGACGGTGGCTCTGTTGGTCCTTGGACCTTGGTCCTTCAGTCCTTGGGAGGAACCAAAACCATACAAAAACCATCCAAAACCTGGACCTTACTGACTGCCCAGACGCGAACCCCAGGCCCGAGCTCGGCCCGAGCTCGGCCCCGAATCGGGTCAGGGGGTTCCGGACCTTCGGGGACCCTGTCGGGCTGTGAACGGACCTCAAACGGAGCCTCAACGCCTGGTGCCTCGGACTCAGCGACGATCTTTCATCCCGATCTCCGTCTCCTGATCCCTCCGACTGGTCGACGGAACACAGCCGGACTAGACTCCACGCGGCCCGCGAACTCACGGTGTCACGCGTGCCGGACTATAAGGATAAGAGCCACACCGGAGAGCTCAGCGTGCCGGACTTCGCGCCTCTCTTCGCCGGAAGCATGACGTATCAGCTCACCTATCCTCAACCGGCCACGAAGCTGCGGAGATGGAGTTGAAGAAGTCCCAGCGGGATCCGTTTCCGTACCGAATCTCAGGTTCGGCGACCGGACCCGACAATGGCACCGAAGGTATGTGGGGTTGAAGGGAACGCCTAGTTTGGACACGGTGTTTTTTCACCCCCCAAACTAGAGCTTTGTAGATGTTCAATTGAACACGAGCTGGAATCGAATTGGACAGTGGAAAACCGAGTCACTCCTAAGGATGCATTTAAATATTTGAAGATTCCCCCGAGGGTGAAAGGAATATATTGCAAATAATATTAGCTGCTATAGCTACTAGAAATGTGAGCCCCCCAAAGAAGCAAAATATAACAGTGCCGAGCACCATTTCGATTTGGGAACCTGCACAAGATATTTGGACGTTGTTTCTCAATTGTTCCTTTGCACCAAGTGCATCAACTACCCTTTTCATCCGATTCTTTCTTTTGGTGCTTAAAATGTTGTCCATTGACAGACCAGTACCCGTACATACACTACCGTGTATACGATGTCCAGAAACGTTGTACAACAGCAAGACACCCTGACATCAAAGATTATTGATTTCAAGGCTACTTATAGTCTCTATAAAGTTGACCACAAAAAAAAACAAAAACACTCCATTTCACAAATTGAATCCCATGGTTGTACAAGGGGTGTTATTTTGCTTCACTTAATAGGTGGCAATCCTGGCATTCAGACAGATCTAAATAGAAGGTATTTAGACGTTTTTAGGGTCTCGAGTTCGGGTTCGCTTCCCTTGCATAGCAGTTTGTCACGGATCACATGCCACTTGCATTGTGGGATCGCACAAAAGATACTGATCGACTTTGCTCATCAACTTCTCGAAGGGACGACAGGACCATGGGTGGTTCACATGATTTCACAATAAGCGGAGTGTGGCTCAAAAAGAAGAGGTGTGCTACAGTAATGACCTTGGGCCCTCCAAGAGGTCACCTGCCACTGATTGTAAGTCTCCTAAAACCACAAGAGGTTCAGAGGAGATTTGGGTCCCCAGGGTGCTAGAGATGAAAGAGATCTATTGTGTGCCATGCTGCATCATGCTGGCCATGAGCGCCATCGTCAACACCATTCCCAAGTCTACATGAACCCTTCACGGCTCCTTCCCGGCCGATGCGATGCTAGACAGCTGCTGGCTGCTGTCTACAGCGGCCGAGCGGGTGGAGGTTTCAGAACCGAATCATCCGAATCCCAAGGCCAGTCGCTGTCTCCCCAAAAATACGCGAACCAACCGTGGTGGGTCCGTCCCGTCTTGGCCAAGAAACAGAGACGCGGTAGAGAGCGGCCAAGCAGCGCTTGTGCCGAGGTTCACTGGGGCGCGAAGTATGGACCTACGATTACTCGAAGCCTGGCACTGGAGGCGGCCAAGCGCGTCAAAGAGGGCTTCGCCTACGTGGGCCTCACGGAGGACTGCTTCGGTGGACCTCGACTTTCATCTTTGGCCAGGCATAGTCCAGAGGTTTGGTCCTGACCAACCCAGGAGATGGTTCCTGAGTGAATCCCCATGGGCCCGCAGCAGCGGGAGAGTAAGTTGGTTATGACGGTTATGCTGCTGGTCCTGAGGTTGAAATATATGTGTCTTCAGGGGTGAACTCTGGATCACATGTAGACGTGGTCAACGAACTTTGAGGGGTTTTGTGCCATGGGGAGCGGTCCCCACGAGAGAGGTCGGACACAGGTGGACAGTTCGGTTCACCTTGGATTTTTGATGTATTTTTCATGGTTTTCATGTGTTTTTTCACTTTGAAGTTTGAAGACTTGGTGACGCTCCACATGGCTGCTTCATAGGAGATTGGATGGTCCACTGCTTTTGGAGTGGCCAGGTGGTTTGACAGAAACACCTGGAAACCCAGACCCAAGTTCCTACATAAAGGATCTCAAGCAAGCCGTATCGAACAGCAAGAACTGGTTCTGGTGTGGGTTTTCAGCCACATCTTCACTTCCCTGGCAGCAAGCTTAGCGGACCTACCAGCCTAGCATCTAGCAGATGAAAGATGATGATTCTCTAAGTTCTCTAGAGTGATTTGTCAAGAGATCGACGCGTGAATCCATGGTCTTGGTGTGTTTTGGGAAGAAATTCCATCCACCAGCAGTCACAAAGGGGTGCTTAATGGAGATTAGGGGTGCCCATTATTCACTCACTTAGGGATTCAAAACCACCCCGTCTTGTGGCTCCTGGCACGTGGGCCTTCTCCTCTTCTTGGGTGAATACGCGCCGAATGACCTGGTATTGATCTCGTGTGCTTTTTCGCTTGGGCCATCCTACGGTGGCGTCAGGGGATTACAATGACCGCTGCAATCAACCTCCAGGGCCCTCACTCCAGGGCCCTCACCTGTGCCGAAGAACTGGTGGGATATATGTCAAACATGGTAAGGCAGCACAAATGGCACCATAAATGCACCTCGCTCAAAGGAAGAAAACATCGGCCAAAACCCCTCTACGGAGCCCGGATCCGGATCAGCCCGGATCCGGATCTTTTCCGTGCTTTCCACGTGCTTTTCTTCGGTCTCCGTGAGGAGTGGGACCTCTCCATTTGCTTGTTCCACGCCATGTTCGGAGGGGCCTGCCACAGCTCGGAGTTCCGCAACGTTCGTCCTGGAGAGCACGAGAAAGAGAGTGATGGAGAGTATGAGCTTTGAACGCACTCTGTTTACCGGGCCGGTGACCGGAAACAGACGGGACACAGGATGCAACAGACGGGACTTGATATATATATATATATATATAGGGTTTAGGGTTTATATATCCATGCCAGGAATGGAACATTCTCTTCCATGCCAGGATTTTGAGAATGCGGCCTGAATGGAAACAGGCATCCAATGCCGTTCTCTACTGCTATGTCTGGACTCTTAAGGACCTCCTGCAAAGGTGTCTATAGCAAGTGGATGTGGGACCAAACCCTGCCGAGCGGGGCTCGGAGATCAGGGGGAGAGACACGTGTTTGGGACTTGAGGTCTTAGAAGCTCCCAAGACGAGAGGGACAACTGCAGTCAACATGTGACACGACTTGATACCAATATAACATGGTGATACCCCCTCAAAAACTGCTTGTATCGCCCAGTCCAAAGAGTCCCCCCCAAAAAGACTCAACGAAGCGCATAGACACCGTTTCGATATCGTTTCGATATATCATTGGGGATCTCTATATTGATCAATCAGATAGGTTTCTTGATGTTTCTTGGGATGACTATTATACATGTGGGCAACTCAAATTGTTTTGTAAATGAACTACCTCGAGACCATCAACGGTGCCTACCCACAACGAAATATATGTGAATAGCATCACCACTTCCTGACATGGCAACATAAACTATTAGTACATTCCATTCAAGAACAACGAAAACATGTTCTTGAGAACGCCTGGTATAGTGATCAAGCTCATCCTCATATCTGAATCCTCCAACTATGCAACATGTTTGCTCAGATGGGCTGGGTTTTATGGATGAAAAAGGCACACAAATGTTCATATAGTTAGACTATCTAAGTCTACAGCGTTCGTATTGTTCGTGTGGGACCTGTGTGCTTCGGAACATCCCTTCTTTCCGAGACAGGCCATCCACCGACAGGCCGTCAGTTGGAGTGCATGTTTTCTTTTTTCCCCCGCTGATCCGGGTTGGTGGCGCAACCCTGCAACCTTTGGTTGAAATTTGGTGCGCAGAGTGCGCAGAGTGCTGAGGATACCTCCGTGTTGGAAGGCTTTCAGGAGATGGGCCTGCGCCTTTCGAATTGACCCGTTATAGGGATCCTGTCGTACCTTCTCAGGTTCGGTATGACTGGACCCTCCTGGCACCTACATGTCTCAGTGTCTCCAATCACCGTACCTCAGAAGGTATGTGGATCCTTTGGGTGATGTGTTTTTGTTCCCTTTGCTTAGATGGTTCATCCCGATTTATGCAAATTGTTGGGGAGACCGCATGTTTGAAAGAAGCACCTACAGTTGCAGCTGTGCTGTACTGCATGTGTGACATCTTCTTAGAGAAGCCGTGGGTTCGTTCAAAGGCTTTCGCCAATGAATCCCAAACACTCATTCCATGGGAAATCCGCCCACACCGCTTGCGGTGCAGGGCGTGTTAGGGGCAGGTCAAGCTGGAATCATCGTCATCATCACATCAGTTCATAGCTCTGCTAGGGGGGGGGCTTTTTTTTTCGGGAAAAAACGTCTTACGCCTCGAGGGCCATGGGGGAGAACGTTTTGGAGGTACATTTTTGGATTAATTTTCTGGTTTCGTTGCGACATTTCTGCAACAACCCAAACAACCCAAAAAACGGACACCCACGATGCTTAAAAACCTCCTGACCAGCAACGCATAACCAGCATTATTGCAAAAAAAACAACGTAGCCTCAGCACATGGTCACCAACGATCAAGCTAGCCTTGACATGATGTAATGTGGACTAACCAAGCGGGGGCAAGACCACAAAACGGTCGAACTTGGAGCCTGAATTGGCTTTAACATGGCCACCAAACGAGCGAACTTGTGCGTAACCCAGCCGCAACATGGCCATAGAAATACTGTCATGTGCAATTTTTTTCGACATAATGTGAATTAAGAAGTTGGAACGCACTGACGCTGGCGACCGAGAAAAAAGAAGAAGGTGTGGGCGGCGGTCGACGCGAAGCGTCAGGAATATGGCCATACCTAGACCCCCCCGTGAGGCTACAGTCACACGTTGGACCCTCGGGCTTTGGGCGCCTGACCTCTTCGCAGCGATTGGACCCCGAACCAAGCCCTGCCCACAGGTTCGGGCCACATTCTAAGGGTACAATATACCTGGATCTTCTCACTAGGCAGAATTGTCCATAAAACCGGCCAAAAGGCAGACATGGAGCATTTGGGAATGTGAGTGGCCTGTTTGCCTTCGGAATCCGACCGATGTGAAAGACAGGATGAGATGGATGGCTTGGTCTATGCTGAAGCCGTGCGGATCTTCCACAAGAACTTGGCCTTGTACAACGTGTCCGCCCAGTCCTGTCGTGCCGGCTGTTGGCAGGAGGCAATAAAGGGACTCCACGATGCGTGAGGGGAGCCTGCAGCCGGAGCTACTGTTAGGGAGCTCGGGCGAGTTGCTTCGTTGAGGTGCAAAGACACTGGGTGACCAGGGAGGAGACCCGCCAGCACACTGCAGTCGATTATAGGAATCATTCGCCGTGAAAGCAGCCCGATTCGTATCCCTGAAAAGCTAGACTTTATTGGTGAGAAACCCCAGACCCTATCGATGATATCCAGACTATAAGGGTCCGTTCTGTCAAGGCTCCATGAGGATCGCGTCTGGGAAGAGAGAGTCTTCTTTTCATGAAAGGCATGCAACTCATCGGGTCTCCTCGTCGCTGAGTAGAACGGCGCTTCGGTCAGACCGGCGGACAAAAGGGATGCCCGAGAGCAACGGGACGTGCCGGTTTTCCCATAACTCGCCGAGTTGGAATGGTCGAGGTTCGCGCCCTTTTGGAGTTGTAGCTGCGGGCAACATAGAGGTAGCAGGTCAAATAACAAGTGAAGTGATAACTAGAGGACGTACAGAAATTATAACGGACTACGGACTATACAGTGGTCTCAGAGTTGGCACAATCCCCAAAAGGCGGTTTATTATGGACCCTGATATAAAAGACATGTGTGGGTCTGTGCCCTCTACTCTGAAACCACTATACATGTTTTGCAACTTGGCTTTGACACCGCTGTTAGTGTCGACCCCCCGTAAAAAGTGAGTATGATGTTCCTATTTGAGCTGTGACATGCAAGAAATCACCACCTCAGGCGTCCTGGTCTGCGTTCAGACCGCCTCTCCCTTAAGGTCCGGACGAAACCGGGATGAACCTGACATGCGGGTCTAAACCGGGGTACTCTAGTTGACCACGGAAAATGAACCGAATAGCCCACCTGGGAGGGCAAGCGCGCTTGCGCGCTTGCGCTTGTCCGGGTGAGGTCCAAGTTTCGGGTACTCCCCACACCAATGATCTGAACTCAGGGGGCCTCGGGATCGATCGAAGTCCCATGATAGGGGTTACCTTCACCTATACTACCCCCCGGGCGGCGGAGAGTTTTTCGGGGGCTAGGCGTCTGGGTCTACAAGGCCGGCCGGTGAAACGGTGGTAAGTTTGATCAACAGCCTGGGCTGGGAACAGCCTGTCTTTTTTGTTCAGAAAGGCTGAACTCCACCCCATGTTCATGGAAAAAAGTACATCAAGAGCTTTGATCGTCGATCTTCGTGATCCACAACATTCAAGGCATTTTGCCTCGCATTGGTCCAGTATCCAGTCATAGATCTGCCCAAGCTGGGCAACTGGACAACTTCATGTTGAGGAACACCAGAAGACTTGTTGAACCAGCCTCCAACGGATCGCTAGCCTTCTGGCCGCAGCGCCAGAAGATCCACTTGGGTTTCAACGGGTGCTTGAAATACGTAAGCCAAGCCAAGATCAGCCAACCCTCCAAGGTTGGAGGCCATCGCTATTAGGTTGGAGGCCGTCGCTTCTAGACAGTGCGCACAAGCGCCGTCTCCACAGCCGCATGCGCGCGGTGCGCCATACGTGCCCTATGTTTGGACTGGGTGATGCAGAGTCACCAGTGGCTTTGGAGACTCAGATTGAAACCTCTCGTTTAGTCGGTTGGAGTTTGAGACTCTGAGCCTACGGTATAAGCACTTTTACCACCCTTCGATCACCCCAACAAAAGGGTCCAACCAACCCACCAATTCCCTGACTTTCACCGCCTTCGAAGAAGGCGTGGCCTTGCTGCCCGGTCTCCGCTCCTCCTCCCAGGTGGATCGACGTGAAGGAGCGCACCCGGCGCGTGGGCCTCATTTGGCGTCGCTGCGCCGCGTCCACGCTCACTGGAGAGGCGCGGCGTCGGTCCGACGGATGGGGCGATGGGGGGAGTCGGTGGTCCTGGTTCGAAGGCGCCAGGGGGCTCGCCCCGAAAAGGAAGGACATCACGTGAATTTGATTGAATTACCCAGACGCTGACCCGAAGTAGGGGCCGTACCCTCATATGGAGGGGTCCAGACCCTCAAATCCCTACGGTTTTGAGGGCGTTTGGGTAGAAGATTTTACCATTGAAGGCACTCACCGCACCAGAGCGAAAGTTTCTAGGAGATTTGGTGGGCTCGAGCCCCCTTCTCCTTCAATCTCTTCTAGGAACATTTGGATGACTACATCTTACATCCATGGAATACATGCACCTCCTTAGCAATCAATCCATGGAATAAGTTGCTACATCGACCCTTAAATCATCCGAACACCACCGTTGGAGAGGGGCTTCATATATGACCTCATGGGCACAAAAAGCATGTCATATCATCGGCATGAAGAAATTGTTGGATCAATATCACAACAACTTTAATGCGCTGGTCTGACCCAGTTCCAAACCCTGTCCTGGATTCTCATTGAGTAGTGTTTCTATATCACCTGACCTGTATACTAGTATACGCTCACACTTCATTAAGGAAAAGAAATGGAATCCACGAACCCGAATGCAAACACGTGCTGGAAAATATGCGCCAAAAACATTGTTTGACACTCTTGTAGGAGACACTCTTGCAGAACATTGCAGAACGCTCTTGTGGGACACTCTTGGGGGACACTCACGTACTCTGATGTAATCTGGCCACATCCCGGACTACATGTGTACTACAAAGCTGCCAGTTCTACAGCTCCCAGAAGCTGCTTTCCGAAGTACATTTGTACTGACATGTACTGACTACAAGTTGCCAGTTCAGAGGGGCACTCTAGGCGGACACTGAGCACTCTTGTCGGACACTCTCGTGTGGGACTCTTACGGAACACTCTTGCGGGGCACTCTTGTATGACGCTCTTGTGGGACTCTCTTGCGGAACACTCTTGCACTCTTGTATGCCAGTTTGGTTGGACACTCTTGTGGGGCAGTCTTGCGGGGGTACTACTACTGAAGTCTCTAAAAGTCAACCGTCACGTCTCCAAAAAGTCACTCGTCAAGTCTCCAAGACGAGCGTTTCGTCCAAGACCTCCTCCAAAACTCATGCGTCAAGTCTGCAAAACGAGAGTTTCGTACGAGACCCCCTCCACAAGTCACAAGCAGTTTTGCAATCCCAGCCCCTGAAAGCCACATGTCCGAAGATCCTTGCCAGACACTTTCTGGAGAAGTTGACTTCAGAGAGGACTATGCGTATGACGGAGATCATGGGCGCGGCAGAGCACAGCGCCCTTGGCATATGCTCAACGTTGGAACTTATGCCTTGAAGCACGAGAAGTCCTACGAAGAGCATTACGAACATGGGAACCATCGTCATCACAGCAAGAAGCGCAAGAAGAGCACTACCACATCTTTACCACTTGCTCCACAACCTTACAGTCCAACACACACCTGAGGAGCAAGAAACGTAGAGGATCGGCGTTTTGAATGGTAGTGGAGAAGGAGAAAGAGAGTTCCTTGCTGCAATCAATGCATCGCCCGGAGATGTGCAGGTGGTACCTGGTTGCAAGGGAGACAGTGCTGGTTTTCCTGATCAACGTGACTGTCCTGGCGTCCCCAGCATCAGTTGAAGTTTTTGGCCTACTTGCTTACAGTGGCAGGAGGGCCAACACTATGATTGGTCAGGGGGTGTTTGCAGCAACGGACTACTTCAGGGCGGCATTGTCAATTGCCCTTTTGTTCTAGAGCTTGGACACCACCATCTCTGCTATCTCCTTGCTTATTGATGCCGTCGCAGGCTATTGTGATGCTAGAGTTGAAGATGACGTGGGAGAGTATTTCCTTTGCTTCGGTGGCTATGGACGCGATCCCAATGTCACAGCGACATTCACCTCCACCATTCATCGCAACCTCACGATTCCCGCGCCTGCCACGAAAATTCAACTTCGACACCATAACACGCACAAAGTACTGCGCCTGCCACGAAAAGAAGTGACGACATGACATCTTCATGTCTGCAGCAAAAAGATTCACCACACCACACGTTTGGAATGGTTTCGACACGTTCCACATCCATCAAAATCACCATTGTAGCTGATTGTCACGAAAGCACAGCTGCGAAGCAACAGCCTGCAACGCGAATCCCAATGTCACAGCCACATACAACACCCCAAAAACACCACCCTCTAAAGGCCAATCCCAATCTGACTGCCAAGAAAACTGAGAATCTCACAAAACGCTGTGCCTGCGCATGTTTCCTCGTATTTCACACGAATCTGACACGTCATGCTGTCATGCTGCCATTCTAAAACACCCCCAACCGGACTAAATTGGTCGTTCCCGTAGCTGTAGATTTTATAAGTAAGCATGGCAGCGTGGAGAACAGGCCCTGCTACAGATAGAGAACGGTCGAATTGTTTTTGCCACGTCAAA